TCTTTTCTTTCTTTTCTTTCTTTTCTTTCTTTTCTTTCTTTTCTTTCTTTTCTTTCTTTTCTTTCTTTTCTTTCTTTTCTTTCTTTTCTTTCTTTCTTTTCTTTCTTTCTTTTCTTTCTTTTCTTTCTTTTCTTTCTCTCCTAAGTTTTATATTTTCCTCAGCTTTATGAGGCTTTTGACTAACTGTAGTTAGTCCATGCTAATAATAGGAACAGAGGAAATAGCAGAATCCAAGAAAATCGGGGTGCAGTGACAGTCTAAGTACAGAGGTGTTTTCACAGAAAATCAACAGTGGGACTATCAAAGAAACAAATTCAGATTCATTATTAGATAAACTTTTCCAGACAAGTTATTAACTGAAAGAGAACAGCCTCTCACCCCTTGCTCCGTTCAGAGTTTGCTTCATCTCCCTTGATATAATATAAAGAAGCAAGGAAAAAAACGAGATGCCCATTGCTCTGAATTTATAGCGCTTCTATTCAATAGTTTTAAGCAAAATTTTACAGCGAATGCACACACAGTTCTTCCACTCTCTGTGCGCATAGTATTTTATGAACAATATCTACCATTTTTATCATTAAGGAGGCAATTTTGCTAGTTTCCGCGGGGCCGGCAAACTGGGTGCTGAACGCGGACACTTCGAAATAGATTCTGAACAAACGAAGTGTTAAAAATGTGTGATTTCTTTCTGGAAAACAAACAGTACATTTTAATGCGGAGACTATGAGCGGTGCAAAAGGCACCTTTAGCAAAGAGAGGTAGGATGCATGCGATCAGTTAGTAAAACTAATATTTTTGTGCCGGGAAATCCAGATGCTCGGGGCTGGTGGGAGCTTTATGCACCTTGCCTGTTTTTTCTGCACGTGCTGCTTCCACATTTCAGCGCCCACCTGAAGGCACTCGCCAGAAAGCTCTTTACCTTCCCACTGGAAGCGATAACGATTGCTACTTTGCACCCCTTGTAAAACAAACCAACAAAGAAAGAAACTCAATGACGGCAATTTCAGTGAAAAAAAAAACACTTTTTTTTCTTTTTTCTTTTTTTTTTTTTTTCTCTGATTTTTTTTTTCTTATCTCCCAGTATTTGCTTGCGATGGGGTCGCCGTGACGGTGGCTGCGGAGAAGCGAATAATTGCACCAAGAAGACGAGGAAATAATAGTAATAAAAACAGGATCCACGTTAAAAGCATGCCCATAGCATATAAATGCCCTTTTATTAAGAACAGCATTTTATTTAAGCCATTGTGTGGGTTTCATCCCCTAAGTCTGGAAGTCTGCTGAGATACAGACCTTTGCGATGCTGTCCTCTTCCGAGTCTGATTTATTTTTATTTTTATTTTTTTTTAAGCCAGAACTCATAGGGATGTTTCTATTGAATTTCTAGTGAAAAAAAAAAAAAAAAAAACCAAAAACTTGGGGCTGCTTTTCTTTTTTCTTACCCCCACCCCCCGGGGAGATCTAATCTAATTGTTTTTTTCAATATATGTTTTCTCCCCAGTGATACTTGTTATTAGCCAATACAGGTGCAGGAGGTGCACAGTCATCTTGAAATACATCAGTTTTCGCACGCCTTGTCTGGAAATACTTGGAGCAGTAGGGCAATCTTTTTAAGATGAAGCGGGGGACACTCTATCCCTTAAATGTGGGGATGGAGGGATTTGTTGCTCTTCAAGCTGCCCCGTAATCTGGCCATATATGAGTTGTCCCTTCCCTGGTTGTGAATTGTTCTTAAAATCGTGGCTCTTGTAACAAGTGTGCTCTTACGAATGTGTGAAAGAAAAACTTAGGAAGGCAAGATAACATGAATTCCATTTTTTTTCCTTTTTTTTTTTTTTTTTTTTTTTTTCGAATAATACCTGGGCTATACCCAGGTGTTACAGCCCCCTCAAATGGAGGTGTGTGCTAGCAGTTTACCAGAGAATATTTCCTGCTTTCTCTTTTTGCTGCTAAAGCGTGAGCGATGCCCCAAGCATGAAGGGAAATGCTTGAGTGCATTGCCTTCTTTATAAAATAATCCCAGGAAACATTATTGTTTTCCTCACTTGTGCTGGATGCAGAGCACAAGCCACACAAAAATTACATGGGCTACATGTAATTTACAGCTAAATTACATACAGCTAAATTACATACAGCTAAAAGAAGAGGCAAACTTTGAAGTTTCAGAAACCTGCTCCTCTTTCTCCATCCCCCTTACATCCTCGCCTTTTCCCAGACATGGGTATTTCATTGGGAGTTTGGAGCAGCACTGGTTGGGAAGGGAACCACATCCCCAGGGAGAACACTTGCAAGATACACTGCTCTCCTTGTGCATTAGCTGTGAAACCTGCCAACTAGACAGTTTTGGTTGGTTTTCTGCTTTTTTTTTTTTGTTTGTTTGTTTGCTTTTTTTTCTTCTTATTTCAGATCTAACTTCAAAAGTGTGCAAACTCTGTCTGAGCTTTATGGAGCTGACCTTGGAGCTGGGATATCAGCATTTTTTAGTGCCCCCAGGAGTCAGCATGGTGAAGGGATCAGCTTTCAGCCCCACGATCAGCTCTCTCCCTTCCTTCCTTCTTGCCCTTAGCCTGCCAAAATCGATGTGCCTGGAATGAATGCTGAGGGAGGTTGTGGATAAGTTAATTTAGCACAATTTCTGTGAAAAGGGCATTTTTCCCCCTTTCTTTTTCCTAGGTATCTTTTTTTTTTTTTTTTTTTTTTTTTTTTTACTTTAACAAAAAAATATCCCACAGCAGGTCCAGCTTTTGGCCTCCCCATCGTGATAACTCTCCTGCCATCTCTTTGCAGACATGAGCGAGGTGGGTGATGACGGCGGAGCAGACAGGGCCGAGACCTACAGCGACAAGGACACTGACCAAAGGAGCTCCCCGGACATGAACAAAGCCAAAAGCTGCTTCACCCCCGAGAGCCCCGAGATCGTTTCCGTGGATGAAGTTGGCTACGCCGTGCAGAAAAATGGTGGGAGCGCCGAGAGCCGCCCAGAGAGCCCCAAGTACCACCCGGAGCAGAACCACCTCCTCATAGAGGGTCCATCGGGGACAGTCTCCTTGCCCTTCAGCTTGAAAGCCAACAGGCCTCCTCTGGAGGTGCTGAAGAAGATCTTTCCAACGCAAAAGCCAGCGGTGCTGGAGCTGATCCTCAAGGGCTGTGGTGGTGACCTGGTGAGCGCCGTCGAGGTGCTGCTCTCCAGCCGCTCCTCGGGAGCCAGCGGGGACAGAGGCGCCGCGGAGCCCGACGGCCTCGTGTTGCCGTCCAACGGGCACCTCTTCGAGCACACGCTGAGCTCCTACCCCATCTCCTCCTCCAAGTGGTCCGTGGGCTCGGCCTTCCGTGTGCCCGACACGCTGCGCTTCTCGGCCGACTCGAGCAACGTGGTGCCCAACCCGCTGGCCGTGCCCTTGCAGCACCCGTTCCCGCAGCCGCCGCGCTACCCGCTCATGCTGAGGAACACGCTGGCCAGGAACCAGTCCAGCCCCTTCCTGCCCAACGACGTGACCCTGTGGAACACCATGACGCTGCAGCAGCAGTACCAGCTGCGCTCCCAGTACGTCAGCCCCTTCTCCAGCAACTCCACCGGCGTCTTCCGCAGCTCGCCGGTCCTCCCGTCACGCTCCACGGAGGACCCCAGGATCTCCATCCCTGATGACGGATGCCCCATCGTGGCCAAGCAGCCCATTTACACGGAGGATGAGTACGATGAAAGGTCCGACTCCTCCGACTCCAGAATACTCAACACATCCTCCTAGACCCGTATTGGGCATGTGATACCTGAGTGAAACTCACAGTACAGAGGAACTGCTGGGCCCTAAGAAGAGGCACGTGAAACACTTGCAACTGTGTTAAAAAGTGACTTTGCTTGGTACTGTACTGAAGCAATAAAAACGTAACTTATTTAATTTCTTGCACTTCACTGGATAATGCCAAATAGCAATGCTCTACGGTTTTAGTGCTGAGTGTGTATTCCAAAGGAAGACCCTGAAGCTGCCGGTTATGGGACTCTGGAAGGTTCATAACGGAAGCAGAAACTGGAGGTCTCCTTTACCTAAACTCAGAAAAATGGGGATGTTAAACTAGAATACTTGAATGCTGTTTTATTAGAGGGAACTCCTCAGGACATTAGAAATCAAACAAAACTAGTCCAAGTGCAAATGGGCTAAAATGGGGATCTTGCTGTCTTACGCCAATAGTAATCCTCTCATTAAAAGAAAAGGCAAAGGGAAGATGCACATGAAATTAGCATGAACTGCTTCTGTGCTGTTTGAACTTGGACACTTTTTAGGAAAATAATATTAAGAGTTATTCCTTTCACATGGCTAGATGGAAAAGTGTAATGTCGGTGTAAAACCAATTACAGCTGTGAATTGCATGAAATGTATTGTGAAATGAACACAAGATTAAACACTGTCAGGTTAATGTAGCATGCTAGGGACTCTAGAAAAAATAAACTGAGATTGCGATCTTGGTTTATGTCATTTGTACTAGGGCAAAGAACATTTCTGAAGATAGAGGGCTGATTAATCCTTGTCTGGAGTTAGAACGTCCAGCTCCAGCCATTGCAGTGGAGGGAAGCCTGTTTTTCCTGCTCCAGGGTTCTGCTCCTCAGCTTGCAGATAGCAACGGGATCAGGGAGACTCTGCTCTCTTGCATCCTTTCAAGCTCAGCTGGGTAGAACAGAGCTTGTGGTAGTCTGAGTAAGCAGATTAAAAGGCTATTCAGATGCTTCAGAAGCATCCTTCATCTTTATGTTATTTTTTTTTCATGTGTTGTAGAAGTAGAAAAACGATATAGCATGTAATAGGAGGCATTTGCTTAAAATAATATTTAGCCAAGTGGCAATTTTCCTGTACTTGGAAAAAAAAAGATACGTTTTGAGCAAGTTACTGCATGTTTGCATGCATTGGTTCTGCTGCTTATCTTATATGTGTCAGAGTAACTTTAGGAATGACTTCTGACAAGGAATGCCGCTAAATTCATCATCTGCTTAGAAGTTTGCTGAGGGTTTAGTGACATTTTTTCCCCCTAACATTCACAAATGACCACTTTTGGCTTTTGCAAAACACTCCTCTGAATGCAGGTGGGATATCTGGCAGGCCTTGCAGATTGTGGATTAGCCTCAAAAGCAGTGAAGACCCCTCTGAAGTTGGACTTGAACACAGATGGGCCTTAAAACTCGAATGCATATCAGATATATTACCCAGTGTCATTGCCCACAGGATTACTTGTGTTTGCTCTTGGCATTTTGCATTTGGTAATTTTTGGTCTTTGGTTTTGTTTTCCTTAGGGCATAGATTCTTACAGAGATACATTTTTTTTTTTTTTGCCTAATTTTGCTTAAAAAAGACAATTTGTTGGCAACGCCGGAGGGTAAAGTCATAAAAAAAGGGGAGGGGAGGCAGGGTAAGCAGCTTCCTTTATGAAAAGGTAAACATGAAAACTTCTAGAAAATTGGTAAATGCGTGAAATTACTGCTTTGGAGGGATGGATTTGCCTGCATTCCCAGGCAATGAACCCTCTAGCTGCTCCAGAGAGAAAAGCAATGGATAACTAGGCCTGGTCTTGAAGACATTAAGAAGAAACTGAGTGTCCACAGCGAGGTGGGCGCAGAAAGGACCAGGAGCTCCAGTTCTGTGTCAAGCACCAAGAACTACCAGCGCCAGGGACCTTGCACAAGTGTCTCTGCTGGCTGAGTGCAAGAGCCATTAATAGGAAAGCCAGCGCTATGCTTCCCATATGTAATTTTTGTTAATTTATTTATTTATTTATGCTTACCAAAGGTGAGTTGTCTCTGAGGGCAAATATTGCAGCAATAGTGTCCATACAAGCTGCTGTGGATTTTTGGAGAATAGACTTTTGACATCTTATGCTAGGGATATACCTTCCATAGAAAGGTGAACTTCAGTGAAATTGGGGTAAATTGTTTCTATACTAATTTTTTTTTTGGTGAAAAATTCAGCAGTATGGGTTTTAAATTTAGTCTATTCTGATTAAAAGTTTTTTTTTAATAAGTTAAACAAAATAGAACAATAATTATCTGGGTTTTTGGTATTCTTTTTTGACTGTTTTTACATTTGTCCTCTTTTTTTTTCTTTTTTTTCTTTCTTTTTCTTTTTAATAAAATACAACTAAAAATGTTTAGATTAAATGCTTCAAGTTTGAAGGTTGACCAAAGAATTTTTATTTGATCACAAGTAACCTATATATTAGTCTAGAAGCTTCTTTTTTTTTCCCATAAATAAGTTTTTAAACTTTTTTTAAAATCTTTTCTTTTCTTTTCTTTTCTTTTCTTTTCTTTTCTTTTCTTTTCTTTTCTTTTCTTTTCTTTTCTTTTCTTTTCTTTTCTTTTCTTTTCTTTTC